TCCTTGGAGCATGCGCGGAGGAGGTCGGTAGGAGACTAGACTGCACCTACTCACCTCAGACGGAAAGGAATGGACCTCTTATCCTAGGCTGCTATAATTTTTTACCTTAAGTCCCTCTCTCCAACCACACGGTGGCACACTGGTGAAATTATATGTCCCAGTCATAAGTGGGGTGGACACAAGAGAACCGCGTAATGACAAGCTGTTAGCTGAGGCTGCAAAAAGGGCGATTTTAGTGTGCACAGTCTGACATGTGAGAGCAGAGATTGGGTGAGAGATTAAAAATCTTGATCGGCAGAAGATGGGCAGTCTGACAGATGATGTTTCGGGCTGTCATTGCAACAAAACTCTTCCTAAAAAACTGAAGGCTGCGGGTAAAGGGCAGATGCACATAAGTCTACAACTACAACGAGGAAAATTAGGCAGAAGAACACGATATTTTGGAAAATACCAGTACGGCAGGAAAACGTTCAGGTATAGTTCGACAGAATAATGCATAAGCAACGTGCCAGGTTAAGCACCAAGTAAAGCGAATGGGTGTAAACGCCAGGTGAAGTTTGCTGGTTTAAGAACCTGTGTTTAGAAAAGATAAAGTGCACAGACAGATCATTACAAGTGCGGAAAGAATAGGCAGACTCCTCTGTAGAGATTTCAGTTGAGAAACTATCAGGTTATAACGAAAGCTAACGTATACTCATCCGATACCTGATGTCCCGGTATTCTAACTTTTGTGAGAAACACGCTGGCACCTAGTCCAAGCAGTCTTTTAAGTTGGAAAATCTGCACAGTGTTAGATGAAATAATTGATTTCAGTGTCATCAACAGGGTGCACTGGGCTGAGATCTGGCACATTAAGGGCCTTATAAAAGCCACAAAGCCCAATGGCGGCACTGTGACGTGGAGACTGTGAGCCGTCATTACAAAAGTTTGTTTGCCACCGCTGCCTTGTGCCTAGGCTCTTGAGCCGAAGAGCTAAAGGCGGAAACCACGCAAAAACAATCCGACGTCTGTTGGGGACCGGCCTGTACTCACAGTTTTCATAGAATGTCCGGAAAATATGCTCAACAATTGCACCACTATAAAACTGCGGCATCCGCGGGAATCGATGCGCTCTGCAACTCTAGTTCAGTGGTGCAGGCGCATCTTATGCGAGCTGAACTATTCAATCGGAATCGGACTCTTTATATTAGATGCGGAATGTGCGAGGGTTCCTGGACCCTATAACACTAAGTCTGACGACGGGAAGCTTTAAGTCTTCTTAAATTCTGATTCAGGCGCTCAGGAAATATGGACCTCGGACGCCAAATTAAACTTCATTCTGTACCACAATGGTTCGCTGGACTCTTCTGGTAAACATGTTGTGGCGATCGCCCTCTTGCAACAAGCGGACAGTGCACTACTTGCTTGGGCACCATTAAATAAACGGATGACCTGCGTGCGACTGAAGGTTCACTTCACACACGTATATATCGCCTCGGCGTACGCAACAAACTTCCACTACGTAACAGTGCGATAAAGAGACGTTTTACTCGGGGCTGTGACCTTTAGTTAAATGACGCCCTTGCTACGAGGGGGGCTCGGCCTGGTGTCTCCACACACGCACAGCCATCCAATTGGCCACTTTGGGCTTGTTTCTTGACGTGAAAATAGTGTGAGATTGCTGAACTTTGTTGACCAAAACCAACTTTTTGTCACGAGCATGTGCTTCCAGCATCGCAACGAATATCTGCTGACATGATCTTCCAACGACGGTCATACCACCAGTCAGCTGGACTACATGCTACTTGGTTCGAGGTCCCACAGCTGAATGCATCATAGCAAATCAATGTGTGGCGCTGAGACTGGTAACGTTCATGGGTCGGAGCATGTTCTCCTTCTTACAGGCCTGAAAGTTCACCTCATATCTGCACCTAAACTTCCACGTACTAGCCGCCTTGATGTCACCAAAATCCCACAAACTAACAATATCGAAGTCTTGAGCTTAGAAATCCGGTCATGATTTACGACAATAGAAGATATTAGTCAAAGGTTGTTACTGAAAAAATCAGTCTATGGGACGCTTGAATATACAGTAGTCGCCGGTTATTAAGCCCACGGTTAATAGGCCCAGCTGCGT